AAAGGTCCCCTTAAAGGACCGCTTGAAACCATGCCAGGCCTTCGTGCCAGAACGCTCTGCCGGCGCTCGTCCCAAGACACTGACTGAAGGGACTCGCGGGTGCCTTCGTATGGTTTTTGTTGTTCATATTCCTGTTCCTCTCAATGTGTTTGTTGGGTGTGTATGTGTGTGTGATTTTGGCGGTTATTCGCCTTTTTCGTGCGCCTCGGTTGGGGTTTGGAACTTTCGGGCCGGGATTGGATTAAGGCATCAGGTCCTGATGGTAAGGCTTCAGGGTTTGGTTCAGATGTCCCTCAAGGCCCGCAGGTTCGGAGGCTTGTTTGAAGCTGAAACCCGACACCTGAAAGGATTTTGGGCTAGGTACTGGGCACCTTACAGTCCTTACAGCATATGAGGGCATTCAATAGGGGAATTTCGGCAGCCCGATACCCGGAACCCCTGAACCTACAGTCAGCAGGCTTTGGGACCTTGTTTTCTCAGGATTTAAGGAACCACGAAGACCATTGGGTTTCTGCTAGAAGGGCCTCATGACTTTCCGTGATGCCGGGAGATTTCGAAAGTTTGGACTTGTCAACTTCGGGATTAAGTGCTCAAAAGGCTTTGAAGTTTTTTGGATGCCTCCAGGCAGACCTCGGTATTGAACCATAAAGCAGAAAGCCTGAGACCCTACATCCGAAACTCCAAATTCCCGAAGCCCTCACCCCTGACCCTTGAAAACCGAAACCCTAAAACGACAGGAACCTTTAAACGAGCCCAGGAGCTATAGCCACTGATAGAGGACTTCATGCCCACAGATTTTGCAGAGCGAGGCGACAAGGAGTCGAGATCCTGTTTAAGAAATTGCACATCCTGACGCTAAACCTTAACCCTTGAACTCCCTTTGACGCTAAACCTTAACCCTTGAACTCCCTTTAATCCCGAAACCTAGACTCTAAACACTCTAAAACTAAAGGCTTCGGAGTTTCCGGTTGTGCATTCCGAGTTTTGGGGTCTACGGGTTTACGGTTTATCAAACCGCGGCTTCAGGGTTGAACGGCTGATGTTTCGTGTCTAGGCTTTGGGATCTAACGGGCGGGTACCCAGGTCCAAGGTTGTGATTTTGCGATGTCGGGTGTACACGTTCTGGGCACGCAAGGCCCGCTTGTAAGCGCGTGGGTCTACTTTCTGCAAGATCAACAGAAAAGTTTGAAGTTCTGCAGCGGGCTTATTTTTCACGCCGGACAGTTTTTCTGCAGCCGGTTGATCGGCTTGGATTGTACGTAAGTTTTTCGTCTTGGGCTGGGCTGCCTATATATACATGCATGTCGAATAGGTGTGTACATACCTTTCCGAGCAGGTGGAGCCCGCAATGTCGAAAACCAAAACCGTACTGATGTGCTGAAAACATAATGACAAAAGGTCACGCTGAGATTTCATTTTTTAACGATTCACCCGTAGCCAGCCTGTGCCGGAATATTTGTTCTGTCTGCCCGTCATTGCGGAGGCTGTCTGGGAGCTGGTTCAGGGAACACACATCGGTACAGGTCTTGCAAGGATGCTCTGCGGAATGTTCGCTGCGACGCAGGAAAAACAATTCTTTTCCGATCCAATCAGCAGAACTGAAAGAAATATGCGGGCAGATTTACTGGTGTGTGATACAGGTACCTCAAGAATGCGCCACGAGATCGAATCAGAGGCTCTCAGCCGTGATGATTGCGGAACTTGATCAAGACTTCCACAATCCAAAAACCGTTCACAAGAACACTGCTGGCATGAATGCTGTTACCCATACATTCATGGCCAGGGTGGGCTTTCGGGTTCATGGTGCTTGGACGTCCCCAAACTAGCGCCCTTCCACCCGCACTGTCGTGACCCAATCGCCTCGACAGAAGCAACTCCAAAGCCCCGCAAAATCATGCATTAATTCACATCAGTATGGCGGCGAAGCTTCAGATGTTTGCAAGAAGAGGCTTCAGACACATGAAAACAATTAATTGAACACGCATCACATCTAATCAGTCGGCGGTTCCGCACTGGCAAAACAAAAACCTAGCTTTCACTTACGGTACCGGCTGCCGCATTTCAAACGCGAGCTTCTGGGAACATCCAAATGATCGCGACCCAATCCTGTACTGCGCTACTGCTCTTGTTCCCAAGCCCACTACGCACCGCATATATTTAGGGGCTCTTATGTCGTCTTCGACAGGCAGCAACCCAGCACAAGTTTTGTTGCGATGGGTTGGTTTCCGATTGGTCTGCACCAGCTCCTGGAGTTTCGGGGGTGCAGGGGTCGGATAACCTAACTCCTAAGTCGACACAGCTGAACTTGCACGAATGCAAACCCGGCTCGAAGCCGTATACGGATGTTCAAGCGGCAAATACTTGAGAAAAAGGCTTGTCAATGCTGACTCCGAGAGGATAAATCTGGTAGCATAAGCACAACAGGTTGAACAAGTAGTCACATCGTTCCTGGGGTTAATATCACTTCAGTATACAAGCCGAGGAGCCTGACGTGGACAAGTACCGGCGAGGGAGGGTATGTCAGGGATTCTCTCGAACTGCCCCTACGTGGTAAGGGTCTCCATCGCAAACCCCAGGATCTTGAAGCACGATGCCATCCTAAGTCCAAGCTCTATATGGGCTGCTGGCCTTGAAACTGAAATTCCAAGAAGCCACCGACGTGATCCGAATCATGACCAATTACGTGAGTGGCGTTTAGAGTTGGGAGATGGCGGCGCAGGAATAGCACCGACGCTTGGCCGGTATGACGTTGGGGTGCTTCCGCATGGTTAAGCGCCAGACAGATTCAATATGCGGAGTTGATGTAAATACGAGAAGCACATACTAGATGGGATTCGTACGCTGTTCCGGACTCTACATGCAGAGGCCAAGATCTACTAGAATTGGAGTTGGGGAATGCATTGTGCTATTCCTGTTTAGGGGTTCAGGATAAGGAAAATTACTATTCCGTCAAACTTAAATACCAGACCCCGAACCCTATGATTGAAGTGCCCTGGACCTGGTTCAGATGTATGTGTGTAGGCTACTGGAAGTGACAAAAAAAGAAAAATCAAGATGTTATAGCCTGAGCAAATAGGAATACCATGCCTCAGGGTTCCTTCTTATACATCTAGTACAGTCTCACATGTCCCCGAACCCTGCTCCAAGACAGTGTCTTGAACCCGAAAAGCCCACACCTTGTTGTAGGAACATCAATAATTCGCCTCGGCCCCGGCCGAA